GACACACCCTCTAACGGCAGACAGCTTTATGTGCTGACTTGACAAAAACAGCACACCCACACACCCACCCACACACATACACACACACACACACACAGATGCAGAGAGTGAAAGACTGGAAGGACGTGCCGCTAGCACTTGCTCCTTGCAGAGTTTGGCTGCCTGTTCGTGGCAGCACAATGACATGAATTCAATATAATAAATAAAATATAACGCTGTCAATAAAAATAAGTAAATACTTACGAATGTCAACGTGGGTCGTTCAAACTATTTTGAAATGCCTATTCAAAAAGTTTGGTATTATTGTTTTTATGGTTTTATAGGTTACATTTTTATTATATATTACACTAACCAACAAATTATAATTCCAATTTTAAATAGTATTAACTTTTTTTCTTAAATTAACACATTTCATCGTCATTCTGGGCTTTAAAGTTTCTTATGAAAGTTAAAATAGTTTGGGTTTCTATTTATGTCTATGTATTTAATTAATTTATTTTTATAAATTTAATTACTTTAAGAAAAATTAAATAATATTCAATTTAATTATCTAGCATTTTAAATACCCAATTACGATAATTTCTGATTGATTAATTGATGTGTTTGCAATGTGCGGCCCACATTGCGGCTATCTATAGTTGCAACCATTTAGTACTCAAAATGTGCTGTACTTCGTAAACAACCCTTGTAACATTTGCAACAGCAATAGCATAAAACGTAAATGCTTATCGGTTGGGGGTATTTCTAGCGAAAAGCTTAAATACATCACTCAAAATAGCTTCATAATGTTTGTGTGTCATTCAGATTTGGTCATGCCAGACAGGACCTACGAGTTCTCTGCTACTGAGTGTATTTATGAATCTTCCAGCAGTAAGCGTGTCCCGCACACTGTCATCAACAACAGCTCCAAACAAACAAGTATTGCGTTAAGGAGCGAGTGCAGCCGCGTGGAAGTTGCCTCAGATGCGAGCGTCTGTTATCCTTGTTTGTGATGTGCCGGTCTTAAGGAATTTGAAAATCACGTGGAAAGGCAGTCTGACTTGTAAAATTATCTGCCTGTCAATTGGAGCATATATGATACCCCACTTTGACTTCGACTTGGCATATAAGGATTATACGCTCGGTGTGTTACTCAAATTGAGTATTTTCCTGTGAATAATATTCAGATAATGGCTGCTATCCATGGAAGAGGTTATATACTCACAACTGGAGTGCAATTTAGTGCTATTTTTTCAACTTCTGCTGCGCTATACAGTGGTATGAATAATTATTTGACGAAGCAAATATGTATACATATATACATATATATATTTGTTTTTAAATATTGTTGATATTCATTTTGTTTCGAGCATAAATAATGGACTGTGATCCTACATAGATGAACCAATCAAAAAAACCAGTCAATAATAGTGTTCGGCTAAATCAATATGCCGACCACTGTACAGTATCTATTTCCAATGCACAGTTGTTCCCTTTCCCAAGCACACACGCGCACATAGAAACTGCACTTATTTTGAGCGCTTATGATTTATTAATGCATCCAAGTGCGGATACTATGGCTGGGGCAATGCAATTTTCTAGTGTTCAGCTCTTGTTGACTTGCTGGGGCATTGGAAAATTGGCTTTGCACAAACTACTCGACAAACAACAACGCACTCAGTGCGTTAAAGTCAAAAGTAAAATTCAAATAAAAAAAAGAATGAATAGAAATGGAGTAAAAAATGAAAATAAATTATACCAATGCAAGGGACTTGTTTATTTCCAGTTTGTGCTCAGTGTGCCATTGATTTTGATCGAGTTGTCAGTGCTTGGCTTTCAGCTTTTACTTTAAACTAATTCAATTTTCACTTGTGTCGGTCACGAAGCTAAACCAATTTGCAAGCGAGAGCAGGCAAACAAAAATAAAAATTAAGCCAAAGCAACAGTTTCGTTTCAATATAATTTTACAACCGAAAAGTTACTCAGTTTGTTGCATGTAAGTATTAAACAAGTCATTTTGTCTAGAAAATGAAAACAATTAAAACAAGCAGGCAACAATGCAGCAAGGCATGCGGAGACGCAAGTCACAAAACTCTGCGCATGACACAGGTAAATTCATTAAAGTTGCCAACCAAACATACGAGCGCACACATACGTTCACACACACGCACACATACATACTTAGTTGCCAACACTGTCGAACGCTATGGCATGAATATCCTTTAGCTGCGGCTGCGGCAGATTCTGTGTGTGGCACATCAATTTAATTAGCAAGCGCATAACTCTATAAAATATTCAAGCAATTTCCAACGAAATATGCGCACAGCAGCTGAACTGGACAGCCAATTTTCCCCAGAGACAGCCCAGCAGCAGCAGAGGCAGCAGCAGCGGCAGCACCCGGAGCAGCAGCACAAAGGGGGTAGATGCTGTGGTAACTGCTGCTGCTGCTGCCTTTTAAATTGCTGCGCTGCTTTATCGCTGTCTTTATTAACACCTTATCACAATCAGCTCAAGCTCAACCAGTTCTACAAAATTCAGCAGCTTCTTTGCTCGATCATTCAGTGTGGGGAAACTGTAAGGCGCAAAAGTAAGGTAAATATGAATGACAAATTGCACAGATTTAAAAGCCAGATTGACAACAATATACACAGGCACGCACACAAACAAAACATAAACGCCTGTATGCTACAAAAGAAAAGCGTAGCATAGGGCACATTCAATTATGCTGACAAGTCAAAAGGGCTAAAGGAAGGGCGCGGTAAGGCGTAAGGCAAAGCAGCAGCTAGTCAGCCACGTTTAATACCGAGCTTACACACACATACACAGACCACCATAGACACACACACACGCGGATAAAACGGCAGAACGCAGCAAAAGCTGAAGAGCAAAGCAGAGTCGAGTAAGGGAACGTACAGGAGACAACGTTGATGATGACGAGCTGGGTGCAGAGCCGCAAGGCAAATTATGCACAGGCAGAAGCAGTAGCTGAAGCAGTGGCAGGAGCTGTAGCAGTAGCTGGAGTCATGATGAAGATTCGACAGTAGCTTGTTAAAATACCAGCAGGCAGCTGCCAGTGGCCACCTCCACCCAGCTCCACAAGCACAAGCACACACACACACAAACGCACACTGCGGAATGTGAGTTGATGTCAATGCAATAAAACGAAGCGAAACGAAATGAAATAAAATGAAGTAAAAATGTTGGACTAGTAGCATAGCTGACCCGGCCAGGACACAAGCAAGAGCCAAAGCCTCAAGGATAATAATGGAGGCGAAAAGAGTTTCGTTCACAAACATAACGCTCACATATGCAACTTTGTTTACACGTTTGTGTGTTTGTGTGTGCGTGCGCCTGTGACAGGCCAGCAAAACTTAAATGCCATTAGTAGCTGCCGCTTTGGAGCTCGTCTACGTCCTCGTCAGCGTCCTCGTGCTCTGGCACGTCCTCACGCCCCGCCACATGCGGGGGTAAGGCAAAAGCGTGCCAGGTAACTGGCACACACAGTCATACACACAAACACACACACACACATACACACAAGCCCACACACGGAGTGGCTCACACACTAAGCCACTATACGTGACTTAGTCGTGCGCCAAAGCAGTATCTCTCGCTCTCTATCGCTCACTCGCTCTGGCTGCTTCGATTGCTCGCTCTCTCGCAGTCGTCGACGCCGTCGGCGTCGTTGTCGTTGTCGTCGTGGGGGCAGGCAATTGAAATAACTTCTTCCGCTTGCCTGCCTCGCTTCCGCTGCTTGAATATGTCCACCCTAAAATCATACCCTACCGTACAACCCTCTGCCCGCCCACATAACCTTTTGAGAAGCTCAACAGACTTGAATTGCCGTTGCTTTTTTGTCATTTATTTTGTTTGGCTGTAAGTGATTTTATAAGAGCTTAGCAACATGCTGCAGAGCAACATGTTGCGTCAACCGAAATGTTGAGAGCAACTTGTGCTCAATTTGCACTCTCTGTGTATTGTCTGCGTGTGTGTTTGTGTCTTTACGATTGTTTCGTGTGTGTGTGTAAGAATGGGGGTAGGCAAAGGTTAGTCCCTTTTATGTGTCATCCCCATTGTTATAGTTGTTGGTTGTTGTTGTTGCCATAAAATTACATTTAAGCACGCATTACGTTATACGTTATTGAGCTCGCGCTGCTTGAAGCTGACATTTGGACAGCCACTGTGTGCGTGTGTGTGTGTGTGCGTAAGCGGTTGTGTGGGCACTTTGTATTAATTTAAATTGCTTTTGGGATTGTCAACTGTGAAATATGACACATAACGATGGCATTTAAATGGCATTCAAAGTTCTTGGCAACAAAACTACAGATTTTGCGTAAGGTTTACCCTAAGTTGTGTGTGAATTGATATGATTATTATTGTGTACATAAAAACTGGAAGTTTATGTATACCGCACACTAAATCCAAATTTAAGACTTTCCCGTACTTGAAATTGGGTTTGTATGTTTTACAATCGTTTCAGTGCGTGGCTTTTGCCCTTCGTTAAATTAAGTTAAATTGTGTCACACTCAAATGTTGTGCCATAAATTCATGCCAACACTCGCAGCAGTCACACACAAGTGTACACAAGGCTGCGCAAAGCGGAACCCCTGGCCTTGCCGAACTTATGTGCCTGCGTGCCTGCCTGCCAACACTCCTGCACGCTTGCCTGGTTGAATCCTTTACGAGGTTACGCTTGTTGTTGGGGATATTGCTATGCAAATCAGGACGCAGTGCGCCAGGAAATGGCAAATGGGCGGCCAGGCGGACAGACACACAAGCACAGACGGTTGAGGGGGAGACGGGCGTGTTGTGAGCTAAATAAGTTGAACAACATTCCGCACAGGCGGCAGTAAGTGGTGGACGATTCCGTTCTGTATTTTATTGCATTTATGCGTTGTAGGGCGAATAAGTTGAAGGTTAGTTCCAGTGGCAAAAACCATTAACAAGTTGACGACAAATGCGCAGCTGTTTGGCTAATATCGTTTGCCCATTTAACACGCACATTTTTCTTTATATTGCAGCCATCACGCCCACTTAAAAGCCAATTAGCTGCGCCCTAAATGATGCCCGAAACTGAACGCGATTCGTTGGTAGCAGCAGAAATGATCAGCGGCGCCTTGGCGCATGGTTATGGCATAGTCGTCGACAAACAGCAACAACATCAGCAACTGCAGCAGCAGCAACAGCAACAGCAACTGCAATTACAACAAAAGCAGCTGCATTCAGATTCAATTCACACCGGCGGCGGCGCATCAGCCACAGCTTACAATATGGCCATCAATTCGTATGTCTACAGCAGCTCATTGACCATACCGCCCTCGGCGGCATCAATGGTCAGTCCCAGCAGTAAAGAAAAACTGGTTAACATGCTGCGCGTGCGCGATAACAACAACAGCAATGGCAGCAACAGTGTCAGTCCCATCTCCGCTGCCAGTTCACCCACAACGTTTCTGCAGAAGCAGCTGGAGGCACCACCCAGTCGTCAAACGGCTCCCCGAGAACAACAACAACAGCAGCAGCAGCAGCAGCGACGCTCCATAACACCCTTTCCCACCAACTTAGCCACTTCGACACCCAACCATACAGCTAGCTGGCATGCTCATGTATATGCGCGTCCGCCCAATCGACCCACACCCCACTATATTGCAGACATACTGGGCATGGCCATGGCCGGTAAAATTGTGTACGAGGGCGCTGCAGCAGCCGCTGCGGCAGCAGCAGCATCTACAGTCACCGGCAACAGTTCGGCCACTTCACCAAAGAGCATTCTGCGCAACATTGAGCAGCAGTACGCGCAGCAGCCCCAGGAGCAGGAACAGCGAACACATCGCAGCGCTTCAATGAGCGATGTCAGCGAGGAGGAAAGCGCAGTCAACGTCAACTCCACAGCCGCGGCAGCAGCAGCAGCAGCAGCAGCAACAGCAACTATCACAGGGACAGCCCCGCTCGATCAGCCATTGAATCTGTGTGTGGCCAAAAAGTCGCGCGACAGCGACACCTCGTCACCCATGCCGGCGGCCAGGCAAAACCAACTGTTGGGAAAGACAAGCATCAAGAAGGGTAAGTGAGACCATTAACATATATGAAAATGAATAAAAATCTTGAAAATTATATTACAAATAAGAAATTAGCTAGCAGGAATAGACGAACTGCGTTTTCCAAAACGTTTCTGATAATATAGTGACAGAGTTACAATGTATGTGCTAGTGTATTTAGCATCGGTGTATTTCAGTTTTTTTATTTTTAAATTTTCATATTGGCGCCGAGCAAATTTATGCAGCAACGCTTGACGAGCCTGCCAATTGAGCGCAGCGCGAAGCTCTCAACACGCTTCAGCGAAGCGTGCGGCGGGTAACGCTGCGTATGCGTGTTATGCCAAATTAAATGACGCCCGACCGCAGCTCAAATTGCCACCACTCGAATAAAGGTCCTACATTTTGGCAACGGATGATTGCGGGTCATCAACATTCGAGCCAATGGATATTTTAACCTATTTAAATGCAATATGAAAGATTCTCTCTCCGAATTTCACAGTCCCTAGTTAAGGCTATTCCATATCTGTTGCCAATTTCCTTAGAAAAGTCTACTTGGGTACTTAACATTTTTCTGCTGTTGAAATTGTTTCAAATTTGAAAGCCTAATTCTGCCACTTTAATTTATCTACATGAATCTTCAGATTAACAAACATTTGTTCAAAACTATACCAATAGGAATTAACATTGAGATCAAGATTCTCTCTAATTATTTTACATCCGTTGCAAAATATGTTTTAAATATGACGTCAATGGGATTCTGTCTGAAATAACTATAAATATGAATTCTCCGAACATTAATTAACTAGACATTGTTTTTTTTCGAATGTAATTTTGTAGCCAATGTGAATTCACGCTGCATTAAAATTGTTTAATTCAGCTGTGGACTGAGTGTGGGGCAGAGGGTGCCGAGGGCGGCATGAAAACAGCAAATTCAATTAGCAATTGGCATACGGCAATAATAAGCAATAACAATCAGCTCGAAATGAGCAAACTTGAGCACAAAATTGTTGGCTGTTGTGTTATTGTATTGTTGCCATTAATTGCTCAATGCTGCGTTCAACTTTTATTGTTATTAAAATCACGTACTCGACTTGGTAAAAATAAACAGCAATTGCAACAACAAAAGCTATAGTATTTAGCGCTCATATTCGCATTTAAAATGAATGAATGCCAGGCGACGTCGTTCAAGTCTCGTTTTGTGATTTGCAACTGTCGTCTGTTAATTTTCGCTTAATTACTTGTTAGCAGGCACCATAAATGGAAGCGGGGTAGCCAGCCGAAGAGCTGTGGCGGGGTGCCATTAAAATGTTGTCGCCAAACGGGCCTAATGAAACGACATGGCAATTGCCAATTGGCGAACAACAAAAAGAACCAACACAACAACAAAGAAAAAGAAAAATAGCAAAACAAAACATCAACAAACAACAACAACAAAAATGGCACATCTAATCAAACATTTGTGTTATGCTTCTATTGCTTTAAGGTTTTTCTCTTGTTTTCGCTTTGCCATTTAGTTTTATTGATTTCGTGCCACTGGGGCGCCCTTTGCGCTCCACTAGACTCGCTCTAAGTGCCACACTGTCGTGTCTCGTTATCTAGGGGTGGCTTTAAGTGGCACGGACTGCTGCCAATGCTGGAGGCGACAACAGCGGCGGCTGTCAGTCGGCCGCCTAATTAATCACAGTGTCATGCATATGCGCCCAGCCATATGAGGCCGTGCGGCCCACGCGGCGTATTAGCAATAGCGACAACAACGACTTCTACGACGAACGTTCGCATTTAACTGTCAATTAGATTTCAATTATGCATTGGCAATTGGCGGCAGCCACAACCAGACTCATGCCAGACACGTTTTGGCCCCAGCCAACCAATAGGTGTAACTGAAATACATGGCGTTGTTAACACTTGTTTGTTTGTTTGTTTTTTTTTTCTGAGTCGACACGACTGACAACCGCAAGCAACAACAACAGCTCACAAATTCTTCACGATGGCGAAATCCCCTATAGATTGACCTGTCAACAGGTCTAGATTGATAAGAACCTTCGCGGTACTATTTATCTATTATCTATTCCAAAAAAATCAATGTATAAGTGTTGGGTCATACACAATAAATTAAAAATAAATAAATAAAACGTTTCCATTAAGATAATGAATTATGCTTAGACTTTTTAAATTGCATTTAGTCAATATAATATCAAATATAATTTATCAGTTGAGAAACTTAAAATACAAAAAATAACCGTGGTATGACAAATACACCCTTAACACTCAATTTATAGGATATAAATAGAAACAAGTTAGGCATGTAACGCCTGGTTTTTGCATATGAATAAAATAGCGAAAAGCTGAACTCAGAGTTAGCTCGGAGTTAACAATGCAGTCAGTTAACCTGACCGATTGGTCTGCATTTGACGGGCTAATTGCAAAAGGTAAAAAATGTTATAAAAAATAGCAGCGGACCAAAGCTGAATTGAGGTTAAACAGCTGTGTCTCGCAATAAAAGCTTGGCAAATAAAGATACAAACACAAGTAACAACAATGTCTAATGGTTTTTGTATACCGCACCTCTTTCACAGAGCACTCGGGCAAGCCGGCATCAAAAAAGAAGAAACTGTCGGTCGATCTGCCTCCAGCCATTAGTCCCACGGGCAGCAGCGACAGTTTAATGCGGGATAAGCTGCTGGCTAATAACAGTTCGCCGAACAGCACAGCCCATGCCGCCCAACCGCAGAGCAACAATAGCAACCTGGAGACTACCGAGGATGACTCTGACTCAGGCTCGACAGATGCGCGTCGCAAGAAGAAGGCACGAACTACCTTTACGGGCCGCCAAATTTTCGAACTGGAAAAGCAGTTCGAGGTTAAGAAGTATCTTAGCTCCAGCGAACGCACTGAAATGGCCAAGCTACTGATGGTGACCGAAACGCAGGTAAATAATAAACATATTTATTCAACATTTAAAAAAGGCAAAAAAAAAGGGATGAAATGCATTAAGTTTGAACATTTAATTACCGACATATTTAGCGCAATTGCGCACGTTTAATTGAACCAAGCTTCATGAAATTCAATAATCCCATCTAAACCAAACATTTTAATTATAATTCAGTTATGACAGCAAATAAGTGTTATTTACTTTTTAACAAAGGAAAACTAAATATAAAATTAATGAACGTTAAAATAAATTTATGAAAGCTGTAAAATGTAATATAATTGATTAGGAACATTTTAAAACGTTCATTAATAAATAACAAGTAAGAAGTTCTAGTCAGGAGCTCCCGACTAGGGGATACCCTGAACCCTCTTCTTCCAACATCAAATGCATATATATATTCTATTTTAGAAGCTATATGTCAAGTTTGGTGACTCTAGTTCTTATTATTTACCAAAATTGCCCAAAAAACAGGATATCGATATCGATTTTTATCGATTGCTTGGAAACGGAGTAAGTTATCGACTATCGGAAACAAACTCGATCTGCGCGGGAGCTAGGAGCATCTACATCTCTAGCTCTTATAGGACAGACAGACGGACATGGCTAGATCGACTCAGCTATTTATGCTGATCCAGAATATATATACTTTATGGGGTCGGAGTTGCTTCCTGCTGCCTGTTACACACATTTAGCTTTCGCACAAATACAATATACCCTTATACCCATTTTTAATGGGTTCAGGGTATAAAAATCCAAACTTCGTGAAAATCGGATGAGATTTGACCGAGTTATGGGGGTGGTCATTTTTGACCCATGTCTATATACGAATCTTGGGGTAAGATTTGGACATGACTTTCGACTAAAAAAATCGGTGTTCAGATTTGAATGCCATATTAATCTAGAGGGAAAACCATGAAGAAAAAGCCAAACTTCGTGAAAATCGGATGAGATTTGACCGAGTTATGGGGGTGGTAATTTTTGACCCATGTCTATATACGAATCTTGGGGTAAGATTTGGACATGAATTTCGACTAAAAATCGGCGTTCAGATTTGAATGCCAGATTAATCTAGAGGGAAAACCATGAAGAAAAGGCCAAACTTCGTGAAAATCGGATGAGATTTGACCGAGTTATGGGGGTGGTAATTTTTGACCCATGTCTATATACGAATCTTGGGGTAAGATTTGGACATGAATTTCGACTAAAAAATCGGCGTTCAGATTTGAATGCCAGATTAATCTAGAGGGAAAACCATGAAGAAAAAGCCAAACTTCGTGAAAATCGGATGAGATTTGACCGAGTTATGGGGGTGGTCATTTTTGACCCATGTCTATATACGAATGTTGGGGTAAGATTTGGACATGAATTTCGACTAAAAAATCGGTGTTCAGATTTGAATGCCAGATTAATCTAGAGGGAAAACCATGAAGAAAAAGCCAAACTTCGTGAAAATCGGATGAGATTTGGCCGAGATATGGGGGTGGTCATTTTTGACCCATGTCTATATACGAATCTTGGGGTAAGATTTGGACATGAATTTCGACTAAAAAATCGGCGTTCAGATTTGAATGCCAGATTAATCTAGAGGGAAAACCATGAAGAAAAAGCCAAACTTCGTGAAAATCGGATGAGATTTGACCGAGTTATGGGGGTGGTCATTTTTGACCCATGTCTATATACGAATCTTGGGGTAAGATTTGGACATGAATTTCGACTAAAAAATCGGTGTTCAGATTTGAATGCCAGATTAATCTAGAGGGAAAACCATGAAGAAAAAGCCAAACTTCGTGAAAATCGGATGAGATTTGGCCGAGATATGGGGGTGGTCATTTTTGACCCATGTCTACATACGAATCTTGGGGTAAGATTTGGACATGCATTTCGACTAAAAAATCGGTGTTCAGATTTGAATGCCAGATTAATCTAGAGGGAAAACCATGAAGAAAAAGCCAAACTTCGTGAAAATCGGATGAGATTTGACCGAGTTATGGGGGTGGTCATTTTTGACCCATGTCTATATACGAATCTTGGGGTAAGATTTGGACATGAATTTCGACTAAAAAATCGGTGTTCAGATTTGAATGCCAGATTAATCTAGAGGGAAAACCATGAAGAAAAAGCCAAACTTCGTGAAAATCGGATGAGATTTGACCGAGTTATGGGGGTGGTCATTTTTGACCCATGTCTATATACGAATCTTGGGGTAAGATTTGGACATGAATTTCGACTAAAAAATCGGCGTTCAGATTTGAATGCCAGATTAATCTAGAGGGAAAACCATGAAGAAAAAGCCAAACTTCGTGAAAATCGGATGAGATTTGACCGAGTTATGGGGGTGGTCATTTTTGACCCATGTCTATATACGAATCTTGGGGTAAGATTTGGACATGAATTTCGACTAAAAAATCGGTGTTCAGATTTGAATGCCAGATTAATCTAGAGGGAAAACCATGAAGAAAAAGCCAAACTTCGTGAAAATCGGATGAGATTTGGCCGAGATATGGGGGTGGTCATTTTTGACCCATGTCTACATACGAATCTTGGGGTAAGATTTGGACATGCATTTCGACTAAAAAATCGGTGTTCAGATTTGAATGCCAGATTAATCTAGAGGGAAAACCATGAAGAAAAAGCCAAACTTCGTGAAAATCGGATGAGATTTGACCGAGTTATGGGGGTGGTAATTTTTGACCCATGTCTATATACGAATCTTGGGGTAAGATTTGGACATGAATTTCGACTAAAAAATCGGTGTTCAGATTTGAATGCCAGATTAATCTAGAGGGAAAACCATGAAGAAAAAGCCAAACTTCGTGTAAATCGGATGAGATTTGGCCGAGTTACGGGGGTGGTAAATTTTGACCCATGTCTATATAAGTACGAATCTTGGTAAGATTTGGACATGCATTTCGACTAAAAAATCGGTGTTCGGATTTGAATGCCAGATTAATCTAGAGGGAAACCCATGAAGAAAAAGCCAAACTTCGCGAAAATCGGATGAGATTTGACCGAGTTATGGGGGTTGTGATTTTTGACCCATGTCTATATACGAATCTTGGGGTAAGATTTGGACATGAATTTCGACCAAAAAATCGGTGTCGAGATTTGAATGCCACATTAATCTAGAGGGAAAATCATGAAGAAAAAGCCAAACTTCGTGTAAATCAGATGAGATTTGGCCGAGTTACGGGGTGGTAAATTTTTACCCATGTCTATATAAGTACGAATCTTGGTAAGATTTGGACATGCATTTCGACTAAGAAATCGGTGTTCGGATTTGAATGCCAGATTAATCTAGAGGGAAACCCATGAAGAAAAAGCCAAACTTCGTGAAAATCGGATGAGATTTGACCGAGTTATGGGGGTGGTAATTTTTGACCCATGTCTATATACGAATCTTGGGGTAAGATTTGGACATGAATTTCGACTAAAAAATCGGTGTTCAGATTTGAATGCCAGATTAATCTAGAGGGAAAACCATGAAGAAAAAGCCAAACTTCGTGAAAATCGGATGAGATTTGACCGAGTTATGGGGGTGGTCATTTTTGACCCATGTCTATATACGAATCTTGGGGTAAGATTTGGACATGAATTTCGACTAAAAAATCGGTGTTCAGATTTGAATGCCAGATTAATCTAGAGGGAAAACCATGAAGAAAAAGCCAAACTTCGTGAAAATCGGATGAGATTTGGCCGAGATATGGGGGTGGTCATTTTTGACCCATGTCTACATACGAATCTTGGGGTAAGATTTGGACATGCATTTCGACTAAAAAATCGGTGTTCAGATTTGAATGCCAGATTAATCTAGAGGGAAAACCATGAAGAAAAAGCCAAACTTCGTGAAAATCGGATGAGATTTGACCGAGTTATGGGGGTGGTCATTTTTGACCCATGTCTATATACGAATCTTGGGGTAAGATTTGGACATGAATTTCGACTAAAAAATCGGCGTTCAGATTTGAATGCCAGATTAATCTAGAGGGAAAACCATGAAGAAAAAGCCAAACTTCGTGAAAATCGGATGAGATTTGACCGAGTTATGGGGGTGGTCATTTTTGACCCATGTCTATATACGAATCTTGGGGTAAGATTTGGACATGAATTTCGACTAAAAAATCGGTGTTCAGATTTGAATGCCAGATTAATCTAGAGGGAAAACCATGAAGAAAAAGCCAAACTTCGTGAAAATCGGATGAGATTTGGCCGAGATATGGGGGTGGTCATTTTTGACCCATGTCTACATACGAATCTTGGGGTAAGATTTGGACATGCATTTCGACTAAAAAATCGGTGTTCAGATTTGAATGCCAGATTAATCTAGAGGGAAAACCATGAAGAAAAAGCCAAACTTCGTGAAAATCGGATGAGATTTGACCGAGTTATGGGGGTGGTCATTTTTGACCCATGTCTATATACGAATCTTGGGGTAAGATTTGGACATGAATTTCGACTAAAAAATCGGTGTTCAGATTTGAATGCCAGATTAATCTAGAGGGAAAACCATGAAGAAAAAGCCAAACTTCGTGTAAATCGGATGAGATTTGGCCGAGTTACGGGGGTGGTAAATTTTGACCCATGTCTATATAAGTACGAATCTTGGTAAGATTTGGACATGCATTTCGACTAAAAAATCGGTGTTCGGATTTGAATGCCAGATTAATCTAGAGGGAAACCCATGAAGAAAAAGCCAAACTTCGCGAAAATCGGATGAGATTTGACCGAGTTATGGGGGTTGTGATTTTTGACCCATGTCTATATACGAATCTTGGGGTAAGATTTGGACATGAATTTCGACCAAAAACTCGGTGTCGAGATTTGAATGCCACATTAATCTAGAGGGAAAATCATGAAGAAAAAGCCAAACTTCGCGTAAATCAGATGAGATTTGGCCGAGTTACGGGGTGGTAAATTTTGACCCATGTCTATATAAGTACGAATCTTGGTAAGATTTGGACATGCATTTCGACTAAGAAATCGGTGTTCGGATTTGAATG